TGGTGTCCTTCAGTGGTCCATACTGGAATCTGTGCTATTTAATGTTTTCATCACACGCATGGACAGTGGGATTGAGTGCACCCGCAGCAAGCTTGCGGAGGACACTGAGCTGAGTGGTACATTGACAACCTGAAGGATGGGATGCCATCCAGAAAGACCTGGACAAGTTGGAAGTGGGACCCTAGGAATGTCATGAAGTTCGACAAGGCCAAGTGCAACATCCTGCACATGTGTTGGGGCAACCCATCAGACTGGGGGATGAATGGATTGAGAGCAGCCCTGCTGAAAAAGACTTGAAGTGCTGGTGGCTGAAAAGCTGGACATGAGCCAACTGGGCTGCATCAAAAGCAGTGTGGCCAGAGGTTGAGGGAGATGATTCTGCCCATCTGCTCTGCTCTTGTGAGACCCCACCTGGAGCATTGCATCCAGATCTGAGGTCCTCAGAATAGAAAAGATATGACCTGTTGGAGAGAGTCCAGAGGAAGCCATGACAATGATCAGAGGGCTGGAGTGCCACTCCTATGAAGACAGGTTTAGAGAGCTGGAGCTGTTTAGCCTGGATTATAGCAGCTGTCCAGTACTTGAAGGGGGTCTATAAGAAAGCCAGGACCATCTTTTTAGCAGGGTCTGCTGTGATAAGACAAGGGATAATGGTTTTAAACTAAGAGATGGTAGACTGGTTTTAGTTTGGACTGGATATATGGCAGTAATTTTTTACAATGAGGGTGGTAAAACACTGGAACTGCAATAAAAGCTTAGAGGAATATTTATGGTCTTTGAAGAAGCATTCAGTCTCTGTCTACTTAGGGTTAACTCATATAACTAAGGGCTGATGACCCTGCAGTAGTGCTGGGTCTAGAAAGAAACACCAAATTAAGGCTATTACGGACAAAAGTGTCTATTAGGGCACTAATATCTAGGGTGGGCAGAGACTAAGCAGCAAAGGTCATCACATGGCCTAACTCTAGTCCAAATGTTAGTTTCACCTAATCTGAGAATGCCACCCAACTCCAAATCAAAATTAGTGGCAGCCTTTCTAAAAAAGAAGAGACTGAGGAAAGGTCATCTGATTTTTCAGTAAGCCAGGTAGGTGGGAGAGCAGAATGGATAGACAGGTGGCAAGTATGACAGAATGAAGAACTGACTAAGAATTTCAGAGGTCATTGGAGGAGCAGGTGAGAATGTGGAAAAAAGATGAACCAGCTGAGACACGGTGTGCACCAGTTGTGAAAAATCTGTTGGATGCTGTACCTCACCAAAGCCTTTTAAAGAAACTAATATATATTGACATGAAGGAAAACAAATCCTTCACTAATTAATAACTGAATGAAAGGTCAGAAATGAACAGTAGGAATAAATAATAAGTGGAAGGGAAGTTTCCAGTGATTTTCCAGAAAGTTGCTGTCCCGTGTTAAGAGGGGCACACAGTGAAATAACAATGCTTATAAAAACACATAGTTATTTAATATAGTAAAAGCTAGGCCATATATCACAAAGAACTCCTAAGTGACTGGTCAATCAAGTGACAGATGGCATGTCAAGTTGATACATATACAAAAAAATGTGTGCGTGTGGAGAAAAAAAATTCCAACCACATATGTACCACATGGGTAATAAATGAGATGTTATTGATCAGGCAAAAGATCTTAAGATAATCCCTTTAAGACATGCATGCTCAAGAATGTTCAAAATACTAATTAGCATGCTAAGAAATAAAAAACTGAGGAGTTATACAATAAAATCTGTAAAAGTATGACTGGTATGAAGAAGAGAAGAAAAATAGTCAGGATTATTCTTTACTGAATAGCCCTATTGATATCATCTTGCTAAAATGTCATACTAAATGACCACTATATACTTCCCCTCTTTACCATCCCCCAACCCCCCCCTCCCAAATATAAGAAATAGTTATGCCCAACTAAAATATCTGGCAGAACTTTCAGACGAAACAAAACAGGAATATTTCAGCACAACCATGGGACTCCTTGCTAGAGCATGTTTTAGGTAACAACTTCTATCGGTTTATAGATTCAGGAATTCTTTCAGTCACCCCATAAAGAAAAATTCAACAAAGTCTTTTTAAAATTATGAATACTTCTGGAACAATAGAGAAAATGTGCCTGGTTACACTGTCAGGACTCTGAAACCCACTGGGACAAAACAGCTTGCCTTTAAGCTAGTAAATTCCTTTTTGCCTCCAAAATTGTCTAGGAGCATACAGGTCAGTAGGGAGCCAGGCAATAAATAATGCCAGGCTGTACCCTGTTGCTGGGATTAGAAGTACAGGCAAGCTTGTCCCAGTGCCTGGGAATGTGCCCATGCTGTTTAATAGGTAAGAGCCTAGGAAGCCTCCATCTGCCAGAAGCTGAAAAGGGAAAGTTTTCCTCTGCTCACCCTGTCTTTCTCTTAACAGAGATAGGCTCCTGTGCTGGCCTTCTCCTGGGGCTGAGTATCTACAGCGAGTTCTCAGCACAGGAGGGACAAACCCAAATACTAACCGGAATCTTTTAAATATATTTTTAAAATACTGAACTATTGGGATTTCCCCTTTTTTAAATGAAAACTACAGTATATTCTTTAAGGCAGGTGGGTAATTAACCTGAGAACCTCCAAGGCAGTTGTGTTCATATTGGTTGATCATATGGCATTTTTTAAAGCTAAACTACTAATATAGGGCATAACATGTTAATCAGCATATATTTCAATACAGTATGTTGCAAATATAAAAGAAACACACACGCTTTTATTAAAGCTTTGCAATGCAGACACAGAAATTATGTAATAATATCCTACTTACTGTAAAGCACTACCAATGAACATTCAAGCCTACTTTTTCTTATTTTTTGCTAATGCTCTGTTAATAAAATTTGTTTCCTCATATCCTTAAACCATCAAGGCTAAAACATTAATACTGCTAGAAATAATTACAGTCAGCTTGCTTAATTAATTGTTGGACAAAAGAATCAGAAAATCTTTAAAAATATTTGACTGTCTGTTGGCAAGCCACAATATTTTGCCTCTGTACCATTCCATTCTAAGTAGAGAAAAAATACTGATTTCAATTAATTATGTAAATTTTGTTAAAGCCGATGAACTTTTGACTAGTCATAAATCTATGATTTTAAGTTTACTCAAACATGTTTTTGATCCATCAGACTTTTCAAATAGTCATTCAATATTTTTAAATTTTGTAAGGTGGTTGTATGTGAGCATGTCAAATTACTCCAAACACATCAGACAGTAATGGTGTCATAAGATGTTAATCTATTTACATCTCCAGTGTATTTTATATTGTTTTTGTTATTTAAGTAATACTACTGTGTGGTGTAAAACAATATGTCAGTTTCTTCCAAGTGCCTGTCTTATGCTGTTTAAAAATTAGATGTAAAACCTCTTAGAATGGTGATGACTCTGTTTTAAACTTAATTGATGACTATGAGATGATACAGCTAAACTAATAGAAAATTAAACATTAAATCCACGTGACAACACAGTGGAATTTTCAACAGAAAGGGAAAAAAAATAAGGCACTTCCCTTATATTTAGTTTCATATTCTGATATCTAGACTACACATTTAGCTGGAACACAGTGTTGAAACTCAAATAATCCTTTAATTTACAACTTGCAAGTATCTGGCCTTCAATCTTTATTATGCAGTCTATGGCAGAAACAATTTCACATTAAACGCTTATTGTTACATAGATTTTTAACAATTAAAATAAGAAATACATTTCCGCTGCAGAAAGAAAAAGACAAAAAACCTCCCTGTTCCATAGAGTTGTATTTTAGAATACACTTAAATTCATCAAAGTACATTTTCCCCTGGTTAACTACTGATGATTTATTTACAAACCAAGTAACAAACAATGTCTAGAAAATACCATTGCACCACAAATTATCTACACGGATATTTCTATTTCTCATACTAGAAAACAGCTAAGGAGGCATTTACTGCAGTACAATGTTCTCTCCTGAAATCTTAATGTGTTTTAGCAGCTAATACAAAATGCAGATGCAGACTGTATTACACTAGTTAGAAAAGCAAAGATATTACGGGTTTGGTTAAGAAAAAATAGATATCTAGCAAAACGTAACCTTTTTGTTTGTTTGTCTGGGGTTTTTTGGTTTTGTTTTTTAAAACAGGACTAATACATTAACTGCTCCAAGTGCTTCACATAGGGGCTGTTGATGACTTACAAATTGAAAATGTTGCTGACAGAGCAACTGAAATTTGAGAAACTATTTGAAAGAGAAGACATCATCAGCCTGTGCAAGCTTTGACAGGCTTATAGCTACATTTCTATTCACAAAGGAATTTATGTTAATGTATAGTGTTTTGGGGATAATTTTACAATCAATAACATGGAATACTTTCATTTACTCATCTCTTTTAGAAAAAATGATAGCTCATTGTTTTGATTTTACTCTTCTCTTACATGAGAAACAGAAGCAGAAGGTGAAGCTTGGAGTTTTGGGGGTTTTTTTAAGTGATCACTGAAAGAAATATTTTCCCTTTGAAATTGCAATCCTGTAAGAGAAGACCTGTTGAACTGCAAATGTGTTGTTCTAGATGACCTTGTTAGACTTCAGCACGCAAATAACCCACACAGGAAACACTTCTACAAATTTTAAGAATAAATAGAGTGTACCCAACAGTATTACAACTTCATATCCTATTATTTCCCATCATTAAAAACTCACTTTCATTTTTCAAAGTATAGTTGTCCAGCCTTTGAATTTTTGTTTCCAACCTGTTTTAACACCACTGTAAACTTATCAAGAGCATGTCAGATTGCTACAGGTACAATAGCTGTGTTTTAGACTCATGTACGTATTCCTGGTAAACATGACTGTTTTGAACACTGGAGCCTGGCAAGCCCCCGTATCTCTTGGTTCTGCTTGCTGTTATATTTCATGCTTCTATTCTGCGCAAAGTAGATGTGCTGCAGAAGCAATTTGTGACAGACTGGAAAAGCAGGTGCTTTCCTCTGTGGTATTTTTTTGAGGGAAAGTATATCCTACACGTTCCCATAGCATACTGCCCAGACACACTGTGGCACTGGTGTACAACTGCTTTGAGAGCCATGCAGCAGGAGACCCTGTCACGGCAGTGGAGTAGTTTCAGCTTCTTGAAGTTCCAACTGAAAGGAAAGAAATTGCAAATACAATGAAAGTTGCTTGGTATCTTCCCACCCACAAGTTTATGTGTGTGTCTACATGTGTGCAGGTTTCTTTTAAGAGGAATTTATTTCTCATTTGCATCTACTGTCCTGCTGTATAAAGCTGAACACAGACAGTAAGGCATAAAGACCATGCCTTTGCCATGAAGTAACAAAACACAGAAAAGTTTCATGTCTGGCCTTCAAAGACAAAACAACATTAGTAGGTCTTAAAATTGACTTCGAATTAGAATACTTTGTATCAAACCAGTTGTTCTCTTTCTAGAGTGGAACTCTTTAACAATTTCACGAGTATGGAAAGATATCATTCCCTCCCTGTATGCTTTCTGTAGCAGTTACAGAAGAACTGGTATTTTAGCTGATACATTCTATGTTTCAGGATATTGTCTGACTTTTGGATTTTCAGTTAAAGTCGTTAAATGCTGTGTGAGACAGACTTACATCAGAAAACAAACCCAACAACATCTCAGCCCTGGGTGTCCACAGTATCCATGTTAGGTTCAATTTGCATGCAGGCACAACAGCACTACAGATGTTTTCATCAAGAAAACCTGCTTACTGCACAGCATGTCCTGAAAGTCCAGAATCCCTTTTTACTGCCCAGCAAATGTTGTACTAGAACTTGTTGAAAACAGGGTAGGAGACACTGCAAATCAAGGGTTTATGGCACGGGCAGAAGAATCACAGATGAAACCCGAAGATTCACAAAGAGCCCATGACAGTACAAATCAGCTACAAAAGAAAATTTGATTTTAAGGGTCTATTGAACTTCAACAAGTGTTTCATTAATGTCACTATCTTACCAGAAATGGGCTTCTTAACAAATCAATACCTTTAAATTATTATTGAAACAAAGTATAATTTACAAAGGAGATACATCAATTTTCTAAAAACACACAGAAAGGTCATTCTCTATTAATACAGGTAGATGTGAATCTACCAAGGTTTGGAGATACAGAAACTGCCCAGCTTTTTCGTGTTTCCACAATAGGACTCACCAGCATTCCCCATATTTGTTTGCAATCTCATATAGCACTGCAAAAACTGAAAGGTAAGAAATCACTTTCTTCGTTTATTTAATCAAAGTGAAACTAGCTTTCAATTTTTCCTTGTTTCAGCTTAAAAATAGCGTTTCTTGAATCCAATATCCTTTTTATTTCTACATGTGGCTGCCAATCCAAGCAACAAGAGCAAAGTTTTCAGGGCTGAGCCTTTGTTTACTGAACACATCTGAGGCCTCATTTTCAGCATATGAGGAGGATTTGCAGCTTCCATTAGGGCATTTAGATACTTCAGTAGTTAAGGAGAAAGCATCAGAAGCTAAAATTGCAAAATATAGTTACATAGGATGACTAAACAGTCCTGAAGATGTGCCTATACATAATTTGCTTAGTTGCTTGGATACATTCAGGCGAAACAGCTATAACAACAGGTCACAAAGAAACTAATTCACGGAAACAAATTTCTTGGATTTCAATAATTATTAATAATTGAGTTTCCTAATTATTTATATTTTTTGGTATTAACACATAGCAAAAATTTAATATATTTGGAAAACATAGTTTTCAGGAAAAGTAATTATCAATTAATTTTAAATTTAAAAAAAAAAAACTTCTTTTAATCTCAGAGATAAAGTAATGCAAATAGTCTCTGAGCATCTGAAGTAAGAGCTATTTCAAAATGCTTGCCAAGGTCTTTTATACGAATCAGGTTAATGCCAATGACATAAAAAATTCTCAACCATTTGCAAAAGCTAGTCTTTGGTCCTTATTACCTTTCCCTATCAATACTGGGTCATACAAAAAAAAGTTCAAAGTAAGCAGTTTTGCGTTTTGAGCGTTTTTTTCAGGATTCCATCCTTCTCCATGCAAATACACTTATAAGACTGCATATGCCTCCCTGAACTAAACTGAGCTGAGCCTTTATGCTCACTTCAGAACAGATGTACCCTATGCATTTTACTGCAGGAGTTAGTTGAGTGTAACACAGCATACATCCCCCCCCAGATGTGAAACACCTATCTTACAACTCTTCCAGTTTTTTGCATGCCTGATTGGCCACTGTCTTTTATCCCTCAGAGCTGTGTTTGTCTATTGGGCATATACAATTTCTATAAATGCTCACACCATCAGTGTTATGGATCAGATGTTGCTCTGTGCATCTGCAAGATGCTGCTTTTCTGTAGGAGTTTTGAATTTATTTCGTGCTTCCACTCTGTAAATGCTGATAAAACAATAATCAAACTCATAATCTAGACCTTTTCGGTAACGCCAAAGAGCCATAGAGTAGGCCAAAGGCCAGTATCTTAACTCAGAATAATATGAATATTTATGATGTTTTCTGTTAGTGCTTTTGCACTGATAGAAAATACAGTTGTTCCTTCCACCAGTCAATGCTTATTTTTAAGTGCTTTAAGAGTGTTAAGCCTTATGTGATTGAGCCTTGCAGTTCTCATTAACTTTAGCAGGAGAAAAGAATTCTCACTTGGCAAAAAAGGAACTTGTAGAACATCTGTTTCTTAGAAAATTATGTGAAATGTGCGTAGTACTATACAGCCCTGCCATTAGAATTCACACCAAATGCTCTCCAAGGCCTTGTCTTTACAAGAAAGAGCTTGTCAGTATACTTCGATCAATACAGATATACGAGCTAGACTTTCTTGTACAGAAGGCACTTACCTGTGAAAAGAATGCCCTGTCAATAGAATTTACAAAATCTGACTGTCTAAGCAAACATTGTTTTGTCTGGGGATTTATTTTCTTTCTTTTTTCTTTTCTGAGAGCAAAAGTTGCATTCACTCTAGGGGTTTCTCTGTTTAAAATAATAATATAAAAATATTACATGCTACACTTTTAAGTACTACTCCAGAGAACCATTTTAGTGTAGATTAGTTCTACAATCTTATCTGTCATTCTGATAAAAGCAAGAACAAAACTATCTCTTACAGAAATGTTTGCTGGAGAAAAAAGATAAATTAAGTTTAATATTAATCTTTGAACATGGCTTGCTGTGAATATATTCTATAGACATTGTGGAGAGTGAGAAAGACTGTACCAAACAACTGCTGAACTGTAGTCCTGGGAGAAGGCCCAGGTCATCACTCAGCACATCTGGCAGAAGTAAACCAGTGGCAACAGCAGCTGCTCAAGCAGGGACTGCAGGGATGGTGGTGAGGGAAGCGAAACTGGCTACTCCAAATTCTTTCAAATACCTGACCATGCAAAGAGACCTATCTGCCCAACTATGAGGACCTGAGCTTCCATGTGTGGTCTTCTTCTCCTTGACTCTGGGTAAAACTGGTAACTTAGTTGCTAGGAAGAGCTCCCAAAGTAGGCAAGCAACTTCTTTAAGCTCTGTATACACCTTTGTTCCATGCAGATTGTCTCTTTGCCTCAGTTTCCATCCTTACTGCCTCACTTGGACCTCATTACTGACATTCCCCGTTCTTCCCAGCACTCTTCCTCTCACTTTCCTTTCCCTTGTCTTCCCTTTCCCTTCTCTTTACATATACTTTATTTCTTCTTAACTAACTTCATCACTATTCCCTGAATGGAAAAAAAAATCCTTAATCAACAAAGAATGCAACTATGAGACTAGTTTCCTTCTTATTGTCACTCTCAAGCTCACTTCATTGCTTGGTTCATCCCTGCCTCTGCAGACTGTCTCCCTTGTTGGTGTAGGTTCAAAGATCTTTGTGCAAAACATATTCTATTCTGTGTTTGCTCAGTGCTCAAGGAAATAGACTTTATTTCACCAGCCTCTGGCCAGTGCCACATTAATCTTTACTACGGGTAGAAGTGTACAGCTCTCCTAAAAGTAATATAAACATCCATAAGTAAATTTAGAAAATGGGTGCATACACACCACACTTTAGAAAGTTGGAATTGTACTACATAAAAGACGCAATCCTGTTGTCGGACACATGCACAAAATTGACTCCATCGAGGGTTACAAACAGATTATTAACAGATGAGTCTCTCTAATAATTTGCTACATCTAGTGAATACTACATGTATATACATACATACATATATGTATGTGCCTGTGCCAAGTTTGGCAGTTCTGCTCCACCACCAAAGTGTGTGTAAGACTGAGCAGGTGCTGATTTCACAGGCCATGGTTTGGCATGTATGAATCAGACAGTGGTGAACAAAAATACCAACTGCTGATGCTTAATAAAGCTAACTTTAGCCCTTCTCCCTTTAGACTGGTCCCTCCTCTTTTCTGGTGCAATTACTGTTTAGTCTGTTTGGAGATGGTAATGTTCAGATTTCTGCTTTCTGGCAGCAGCTGAGCGGCAGGTATGCAGCTGCTTTCACAAGAAGCCACTGAGTTCTGCACCTCAAGGAAACAACCAGCTTGTGGCTAAAGTGGCAGCAGTGAGAAACTGGTGTGCAAGCAACCTTAAGTATATTGCTGAAAGGTGATATGGCAAGGAATGAACCAGGCTTATGCCTTTAGTTCTTCTTTTTAAGGAATTACAGAGACAACTCAAACTTCTAGTGCTTGTGATGTGCTTGAATGACTTTCATGAATGTTAAGATTTGCTTTCATGTTTTGTTTGATGTTCACTTAAGGATGGGGATTGGAAATTCTCTGGAGTAATTACAGGACCACGGACACTGAACATTTACAAAAGAGCTTCTTTGCAAAAAGTAAGCAACCAAAGGCAGAATTAAAAAAAAATCTATTTCTCTTGGTACCTGATGTGTCATAAAATGTCTGCTTCTTAAAGGCTTTTTCTACATGGAAAAGGTATCTTATTATAGCTAAAATGGCAAAATGGCACAATAGTCCTTAACATGTATGTATATATTTATATTTATCTATCTATATCAAAACCCACCTTAGTCAACACATATCTGATATAAGAACTGCATGTAGACAAGCTTTTGTCTACTTCTTACATGTCTTTCAGGAAAAACAAGGCCAGGTAGGCCTTCTTCGTACATCAGTCAAAAGTGAACACACACAGTTTTTTATCTTTTTATTCACTGCTGCAATGGGAGAAGAAGAGAGATCTGTATTTTGTCACACTCCTGTCTCTATCAGAAGACCAGGAGTATGAACAGAGAAACCTGTGATTAACCTTCAATCAGTCACCTGTTGTAAACATCCTGCAAATGAAATGCTGTTTTGTGTGCTTTGTACATGCACGTGGGACCCAGTCAGGCAAGGTAACCTTGAAAACCCTTGACTTCTGAACATCAAGCAGGGTAGAGAACGACTAGCACCATGCAGGACTGGGGTCTCTGTGTATGCATACAGAAGTTTCAACCTCAAAGGTGTTCAGACCTTCAGACAGCTACAAATCAGTATAGACAGTAACTTCAGAATACGTGTCATCTCCAGGCAGGTGGCCTGGATCCAGAGATGACATCTCCACTGCTAGTCATACCTGATGGTTAGTCCTATCCACAGTGTTGGCAGTGGAAGCATGGTCACGGGTGTTTTGTCGGATTCGGGTGGAGTTTTGCTGCTCAATGGTTGAGGAAGTGGGGACGCAGAACTCTCTGAAACACCTTTTGAAATTCTCATCTAGAAATGCATAAAGGACTGGATTAAGGCAGCTATTTGTATACCCTAGAGCAATACAGAAGTGCCAGGAGACAGTCTGGAAAGTAGTTTCTGGGATGTTGACCAGGGCTTTAATGATGACATAAATGTGGATGGGAGTCCAGCAGACAATAAACACTGCCACCACTACAAGAACCATCCTTGTGATTCTCCGCAGGTTCCTATCCTTCTCTTTGGAGCCGGATAACATGCGAACGCTCTTCAGGCGTAAAATCATCAGCCCATAACACACAGTAATTATCAGGACTGGCATGATGAAGGCAAAGATGAACACACAGATTTTCAGGAGGTTCTCCCAGTACCATGCAGGGTGGGAGAATGCAAGCGTGCAGTCAATCGAGCCTGGGGAAAAAGGAAAATATCAGAGAAGAACAAGGGGGTCAGTTTTTCATTTGCTTTTTTTTAAACTTTTTAAAATTAAATATCATAGGCAAATATATGAAGATTTACTAAGTAAACATGCAAAAATGAAGCAATCTGTGAGCTGTCATTTACACAAACATTGATAGGTCAGAGTGCTGCAAAACATGTATGGAGTTAGAAAAACAAAACCAAATTAACGTGTCCTCTTTTTCATTCTATTGCTTGGAATTAAATGTATATTGGAAAAGAAAGAGAGCTGAATTGTCACAAATGCTCAAACCTTGCCTCGTTTTCACTTTAAAACCTAGTGAAAAGAAAGATGGCTTAGCTACCATATGTGCTAAGAGTTTGGGCATTTCAGGGCAACAGGGAAGAAAAAGACATGTCACCTGGCAACTATGCACCATGGTGGGTTTGGATTTATGTTGACGTGCTGTCACTGTCCCTTTATAGAAGGTCTTTGAGCACCAGTGATCCAGAATTGTGCTTTCTGCTCTGTATCACACCCTGCCAGACTACATGCAACATATCTATGACTGCCAGCCCCAGCAGGAATATCCTGGATAAAGTGCAGGCTTCTGTGCTGTAAGACAATGCATAACTGCCCCACAGCAGAAGGCAGGCAGGCCCAGATGCTTTTCCAAACACTACAGTAACCATGTGGGGCAGCAAGACTTGCATGGACCACAGAAGGAGCTGGAGCTGCCTGTTGTAAAACACAGATGACATGTAGTGCTTGTCCAGTCAACTACAGCCAGCTGCAAAATTGTTGAAGGGGCCCATTTGCACTGATACTTGCTTTATACAGATTGGAGGGCAGAAGCTAATCCAATGTCTCTACATTAAAACAAAACAATGCAGAAAGGAGTTTAAATGTTGGAATGAAAGCCAGACTTACCATGCCTGTATTTAGTAGTTGCCATGAACATAACTGGCAGGCCAATGGCAGAGGAGAGAATCCAGTTGCAGACATTGACAATTTTGGCATTTCTGGGGGTACGGAAATCAAGAGCCTTAACTGGGTGGCAAACAGCTACGTAGCGATCTACACTCATGGTGCAGAGTGTAAAGATACTGGTGAACATATTGTAGTAGTCTATGGATATAACAATCTTACAGAGGATGGTACCAAATGGCCATGTTCCCATCAAGTAATTCACACTCTGGAACGGCAGAGTACTTGTTGCTAGGGCATCTGCCAAGGCAAGATTGAAAATATAGATGTTGGTGGCAGTCTTCATTTTCGTGTACCTAGAAAAAAAAATCGGCAACGCATGAATGACCATAGCTGACACTGTTAAATAAAATTGAGTCCAGTGCATCATCTATAAGAAACTTCTGTAAAATAATGTGCTAGATACTGTCAAAGATCATATTTTCTGCTTTTAACCAAATGACCTTGCTATGATTTACCTATATAATGTTGATAGTTCAGTGAGACATTAGCTAAAGGATGTAAGGAAGAAAAGATTAATTTAACTCGTGCTGAGGGAAAGGATATACACAGAAGAAACAATATGATAGATGCTAAAGAACTGAGACACTGAAAAAATCCTGTACTTCTACATATCAGACACTGTATTACATGGATAGATTTTCTGTACCTGCTGATATCATGCCAAATATCATAACCATGGTCTGTAGAAATAGAGAATTCATTTGTAGGTTGTGGAGTAGTAATGATGTAATTCCTCAAGGAATAAGTACCTAAGAGATTAGCATAATTATCAAGTCCATGGTGTCTAAAAATTCAGGCTTTTAGACTTTCTCATTAGTTTATAATCACAGAATTCTAAAATAACTGCTCTACTAATCTCAATGTCCAATATAAGTTAGACAGATGTTCCTTCAATCAAACAAGAAAACAGATGTTATTCATCACATGCACTGAATGTATCAATAGAATCAGCATGCCAGGTGGATGCTGCAGCCGTGCTGTTTGAGGTAGGAATGTTTGCTCTGCTCTGCAGTGACTATTTTGGCAGGTGGGTCTTCAACCTTCATTCCACTCTCTTCTCCTGAGTCTGTGCTGTTATAACAACCCAAACCCTACTTCCTGAGTTTTGAATATGTCACTCAAATCACAGCTGAGAAGGGAGAGCATTTTATATTTTAATTTGTATTTGCATTGCTAAAGATAGAGTCCAGATTCCTCCTTAGTTTAATCAAATTTTTGAAGAACATTTGCAAGTCCATTGTGTCAGCTGAGGAGCACTTGAGATCCACTTTTTATGTGGATGCTATAGATTTGCAGTGGTACAATGAATGTTTCACTTTAAGTAATGTTCCTGGCCATGCTGCCCTCCTTGTTGCTGAGTTTGCTGGGCACTGTGGCTGCCTGACTTTTGGTACATCAAATAGCTTGATCTTTTGATAAAACTTCCTTCTGTTTCTGCAAAACTAACAAGCAGGGTGTTTGATCAAACATTCAACAATTTGTACAATGATTTGCAAGAAGAATAGCCCATTTGAAAAGATCTGTCAGGGAACCTGCTGGGGAAGACAAAGTGTAAAATACAGTCTTTCATGGTTTTTATTGCTTTTAGATCTCTTCAGAACATGAGTCAGTTGCAAAGAAATCCCAATGACGGGGCTGTGTAGGGAACACACACTTGGAACCTTTTCTTGGTAGGGTCTACAGAAATGCAGACTTCATGCTGAATGGACCTACATAGCTCTTTATGATGAACATTTGAAAGCATTGATACTGGATTTGTTCTCTCATTTTCTAGCACTGTGCACAAGGAGCCACTAGCAACTCTAACTTCAAATTAGGGTGGTTTTTAAAAACATATTTCAAGTAGATCCAAGCTCTTTCTTGACTGCTGTCTTGAGAAAGTATGATCTGAGTACGACAGTTTCTAGTTTTAAATAAAATCCATATTCTGAAAGTCCCCTAAACACTTTTCTTACTGCATTTATCTAACAAGATTGTAATACTAACAGAAGAGGAGGTAGTTGCTGCAAGCATTCATGACTCTCTCTCCTGGAAACTGGAAAAATTTACAGGAAAAATGTGCAGGATTGCAGTGTGGGAGAGATACACAGTAAGTTGAAGCTCTAAAAACTGTTTGGAGGAAGGGGAAAGTATTTCCTGGGAATTTTGCAGCGGAGAAGGAAAGCAGCAACACTTTTATGTTGCTTTTACTGTTACCCAGAATGTAAAGGTTGTACTAAGCCCTGTGGTTTATCAAAACAAGTGTCTTTTCCATAGGTCTGAGGATACAGTCAGGTGTATCCAGAGAGCTAACCTGGAGGTTTGATTGTGTTCTGAGCAGACACATCCAGCTTGCTCCCGTCTGATCTGCTAGGTAGGAACAGCAACAGAGAGGCAGTGGCTCTCAGCTCTGCACAAACAGGGAAAGGTGGTGAGGATTCTGTGCCCTCACCCAGGCTGCTGATCCCTGCTCAGATGCCCATCCTAGATGATTGTCTTATTTTTATGGCTGGATAAGAAAGCACACCTGGGAACACTGCTCAGTGCTGCTGCCATCACATATGATTCTGGCACAGTTCTGTCTGGAGAGTACATAATCAGATGATAATGATATCAGTAATTAAAGCCATTCTTATGATTTAAAGGGAATGCTTGATACAGCACAAAAAATTAAATACACCAACCAATACATGACTCTCAGGTTTGCATGTTAGAGGACAGATAGAAAAAAGGTCTGAATAAATGGAATAAAGTTTCTTTACTAGGAATGGGCCTTATCCCACTTAAATGCTACATATTTTCCCCTTTTGCTATCTTCTTTTCATTGACAGTTTAACTTTAAAGGTTCTTGGACTTACTTGTTTAATGACCACTACAGACTTAATGAAGGGTTTTGCTTGATGTACTCTGTAATCTTTGTACTTCTAATCATGCTGTTCTTACAATGAACAAAAGCATAGCTTTTGTGGTGATAGAAAGTATTTACCTCCACAATTGCCTAATCAACAAAAGCCTACTGAAATTTACAATACTCTTTTCAGTGAATTCTATGGGATTTGGGCATTTCTCTGTACTGAATATTTCAAGATTTTATAAAGGGCTTATTTCTGAAAGGTACATTTTGTAAAATATCTATTTTTCAAAATAAGTAGATTAGCAGTGTCCCCAGAATTTCTTTTGGCACGAACAAATAAATACTGAAGCAATTGATTAATGTAATTTTAACAGCATGAAAAATAACAATCCATCAAAATGGAGCTTTTCAAAGTCTTGATCTTAGCTACTATTATACCTTTTGCTGAGGTATCAGTCTACCTATTTAAACAAGCAGCACAAATATCTCCATCATCCAGACACAGATGTATATGTGATGAGATTTCTATACTTTAGAGGGACTTAATACCCAAACTATTGTGTTTATAAATACAATCTTTTAAAAGATACTGCTTTCACATTTTCATTTAAAGCCACTAGAGAATCTAAAAATTAGCAGTTGTGTAAAAAAAGAATCTTAAATGCAAACCCATGAAAATCTGGATACTGGTATTTAGATACATTAAAATTTCAGCATCTAAAACACCAAGTATATTAAATTTTGCATTACAATGAGCAAGGTTGTAAATGAAGAGGGATGTTCACTTTGGGTGACATTACTTCTATTTTACAACTCTGTAATGAAAAGAGTAATAGAACATGCTGATTCAATTTTTTTGGTGAATATTTAGCAAAATACTGCTCTTGATACATACTCAAATTAATTGAGCTCATTATACACTAGTGGGTACACTCACTAGTATGCCCTTTCTAACTCCTCAGTGCAGGTTTTGTATCATAAAATATTTATGTTTATGAAGTGTTGTTTTGTTGTTAATAGTAGATGATAGATCAGATTTACTAAAGTAAAGAATACATTTTATGTCTGTCTAACATTTTAGGGAAAACTCAGCCTTCCCTTTAATCTTCTGGGATTTGCTCAACTGGGATTTGCTCGGAATAAGAAAAAGCAACAGAGAAAAGAATGAGAATCCTGCTCAGATAGTCATCAAGTTCCTAGCATTCAAGGATTAATAGAAAGGTCTTGAAAAGGACTCTTCAACTGTCTGCCCATGGGCTGCTTGTAATTTCCAAACTGAATAAAAGGTTCACCAGATTAACCTTAGAAAGACCCCCGTTCCATTGCACAAAGTGTAACAGCACCTTGAACAGCAGTCACAAGCACCTTCCCTTCCCCCTCTCAGACATGGAACAAGAAGATGTGAGTACACTTGTGATTCTCTCTCTTTCTGCAAGAGACATGCTACAGCTCTGTTTCTGGCCTGTCCACTCCAATACTTTAGTCTCCACCTTATCACCTTTAAAAACTTTTGAAGAGTCACTTCTTTTAGGTTTCCATGACTCAAGAGTAGAGACCAACTAACATGAAGAGCATCTATTTTCTTGAAATTTAATGAAATTTTTAGTTTGCATAACACTTTATCTAAGCCTAACAGACACAGTTTGTATGCTATCAGAGTCATGTCCATACTGCTCCTTGGTCAAGTGGTTTACATCCATGTGGATTGTTGAGATATTCCCTCCTCCAGACCCTTTGGCCCTCCTGGACCAGATCAGTTTTACAGCATCCTGGTACCAGTGAGCTGGTGCAAAGAAGCTAGAGAGGTGGTCCATGTTTAGCTCAATGAATAGGGTAATTGATGTTAATGAGTAACATCAATTAAGAAGAAAGCAGAAATGGTCTTTTGCACTTAGGAAATGGGCTGGTCAATGACAGACTGGTAATAACTACTTTCAGCAACACAAAGGCATTCAAGGTTTTGCCTACAGAATGCTAATCTGGAGACAAAGACTACTTCAAGATCTGTACTTAATTTCAGCGCAAAATACATGAAAAAGTGGCTTATCATAGAGATTCATTGCAGAAAGCAGTCATTCTTGAAAATGGTTTGGCTGCTGAAAAAAAAAGCAGCCAGCAGTTAGGTCTTGCATACAACTTGATGTAACCCTTATTGATGCTGGAGGAGATTAGATTAGTGTTTCAAATTTAGTTTCAAATTCTTGCATAAATGTCTTGTTACACAAATGAAGAATCATTACGTGCATACATTAGATTAGTTGAGGTCACCTTGAGTGGGAAGATTAAAACAAGTGAAGTACAGCTAGTTGAATCAATTTAAATGAACTTTTTTTTCCACGGCTGTTCTGGTGCACCTTGTACATGCAACTCAAAATCTGTATGAAAGGGGATTTTTTTTTGGTGTATTTTCCTAAAATAACAGGTACTTTCAATTTTTATTGAGAACTCAAAGCTTTGACA